TATGATTTTCTATTTTTCTGATATTGGTCTGATGTGCATATAATATATCTGTTAAAGGAAAATATTACTGATGCATAAAACATGTATAATTTATATGAAACGAAATACGTATGATGTATATAAAATAAAACAATCTAAAGAAACAAAACATCTCTTATAAAACGATACATATATTTATAAAATGCATAACAATAAATATCATTTTCTATATAAGTCATAAATAGACGTTATCATTACGCCTGGTGATGACAAAAGGTCACTAGGTACATATGTACCTAACTCAGTTTGCTTGTCCTTAACTCAACTGGAGACTTAAGTACGGGTACAAGTGACCTTTATCATACTAAGATATTGATTCACTTTAACGGATTTTAAATACATTGATTTACTAGCTTAGATTCGTCCTTCATAGATTATAAAGTCTTCATGATAAATCAGTGTCTTATCTTAGTGTGAGAGAGGGTAAACCAATTAGGGAAAGGGCAAGACACGGGTTGAAAAGACGGAAGGACATTTGTTGAACTGAGGATAAGGTATTGATAGAGAGCGGGTAGACGATGACGGAGAAGGTAAAGGACAATCGGGGAGAGGTAGGCAATTGGTGGGCTAGGGTAAGGCATGGGTGGAAAGGTGGAAGGGATTTTGTATAGATAGGGGAAGGGTTTTTGTGTGGAGAAGTAAGTATATGTTTGGGATGAAGAGGGGAAATAAGTGGGTTGAGGTAATATATGGATGAAAAGAAGTTAAATGTTTGGTCTAGAGGGCACACGGCATGTGTGAATCGATGGCAAGAAATTGTTGGAATTAGGGTAGGGCATGCTCTGATAGAGGATAAGACATGAGTGAAGAGAACATAAATGCATTCATTATAGTCACGGTATACCATAATGCACGTAGTACAGGCTGTACAGGTATACTAGTGTCCGGATATGAGGCCAAGGTGACACAAGAAGCCGCATGAGGCGGGACGGTTAACGTGTAACCGCACGTGTTTCAGGTGCGACACGGGTGTCTATAGAGTAATACATGTAGTTTGAGGGTTACTTAGCCATTCGAGTCTTGACGGTTAAGCTATTCACTCCCATACAAAGGTGTTGATTTTTTATATGATAAATGCTTTATGTTCTGTTGAACGTAGTGAATTAGAATCATTATTAGCAATTCGTGGATATTAAAAATCATTGAAGTTAACATGTTTATCAATTTACGTAATGTGAATGGAAATTTATTGAGAGCAGATCATTGTTCTGTTGTTATTCATTTCGCACTATCACAATAACGTAGAAAAGAACCTGACACTTTCTTCACTGATTTACATTGCATGTTTAAGTCTTCAATCATCAGCAAAGCTTACTATTCTATATTGACGTCATCATAACATTTACTCGTTCTGAAATCAAACAGTCCATGTCAAAGATCGAGTGAGTTTTACAACAAATAGTCTACGATAAATCTTATATAAAATAGATTGTCGACAGTTGGGGATTACAAGTGAACAGACTTTCGAATGATATTATATGATCAATAAATATTGGAAATTCGCTATCGATCATTTGAATTGGGGTTGCGTGTACCCTCTCAGGACGGTCAAGGTCCGTCAAGTACTCTGGAACTGTGACATGTATATAACGGAAGCAGGTTTACTGATGATTAAGTAATAAACTTAACTGTGGAAAAAGATATTCTCTCTCAACCTTTCGGGATTTCTTAACAACTGAAGGCCTGATATTGTCATACTGACATTTAGTATAAGTCAAACAATCATTGTATATAAAACCCATGCTAACAATATGTCCAAAAGGTAGATTAACATGATAATCAACCATCACGAGTTTAGGGACTTATTTCTCTCACAGCGTTCTGATAAAATCTCTAGAAAACCATGTGTCTCTTGGAAATATATTATTCTTGTTTCCGATCAGGGAAACAATTGCCATGAGGCTAAAATGTCACAATGGAAGATGACATCGCAAAGCATTGTTACTTGGCGTCATAATTAGACGATTGACAAATGAAATAACGTCCAGGGTACCGGTATTACCCAATAGGGAGTGACCAAAAATGTATACTGATTCCTAACAAGTTTATCAGATTTATTCGGGAATGGGGAAACCAAATTGAATATTGGTTGTGGGAGAAACACAGTATCTTAAACTGCTTTTGTAAAGAATACTAAAAATAATCTTACAGTAACTTTAATTGTGAATCCCAGGTGGATTTAGTATTATTGCATACAGTGACTATACTGTTAACATCATGAGAACGTCTTAAGCATAGCAAATCAAACCATTATCATTTTTTTGGCGATACAGATTTTAAAGAAGATAGTATTTGTTAACACTGAATACTAATATTAGTGATTTGTAGTTTTGACGAGACACTATTGCATGCTTGGCAATGTCAACACCTGGACTAATCTGTTAGACTGCCAGGCAGGTATCAACACATCTGGTCGCCTATGCTACCTCACCTCTGCCCCTACGTTTCCTACAGCCGTCTAGCTGTTCACTCCTCGATCATTCGGGTTATTGGCAAACACAACCACATTGTCATACACGTATCATGCTTCGTTTTTCAGGCGGGAATAGTTCACATGGTACTTGGTCTGTTTTCTAGAGATACAGTCTTCTATATAGTTATCTAGGCCAATGTTTCACACTGCATTTTCATATAAACGAACTTGCACACGTTAAATTATTATTCGGAAAATAATCTCATGGGGATTTCTGTATGCGATTCCGCTTAGCGTTTTGAATCATGCATTCAAAAACAGTATAATGCTATCTTTATTTACGTGCGTGTCCACAGTCGTATAGGATTATGATATCATGTCTGCATGATTCGAATAAAATATTTGATATTTGAACCATCTGCATATAGATCATTGATATGTTTGCATATTGATCCCTTAGTGAAGACGGTATTTAAAGTGGCCTTTATGGTATAAACATCAGGAAGTGATTCAAATGAGGTATTTTAAAACATGAAGACGTGGTAATTGAATTTAAACAACCTTAAATATCCCTCAAAATGTCATGTACATCTACCTTCATTCTCCAACATGGCAAAGCCAGGGAATCTAATTTCAATTCTAAACGACAAACAGGATTTAAAACATATTTTATGAGTCGTACATCTAAGATAAATCACACTCAGATAAAAGCTAGCAAACACACAAACACATGGCAATAGTATATTATCAGCTATACAATATACCTATTCTATCTGCGTAAAAAGGATCGTCTTTTGATAGAATCCGATAATTCAATCGTGCTACCGTGTAAGTTTTCGTTCATGACACGGATATTTGATGAGACCTACTATTGTGGGTCATGGCATGCTATATTTGATGGTTAATAAACCCAAGTTTTGTGTGCATACACTTGACAACAAACCAAACTGCCGTTATATTATCCTTTATATTTTATGGCCTATTTTGCATTTGTGTGTTGACGTTATGGTATATTTTGCCTTTTTGTATTGGCGGTATAGTATATTTGGCCGTTGTGTATTAACGGTATGATATATTTTCTTCTGTTGTATGGACGGTATGGTATTATTTGTTATTGTGTATTGACGTTATGGTACATTATGCCCTTGCGTGTGCACGTTATGGTATATTTTGCCTTTGTGTGTTTACGTTATGGTATATTTTGCCTTTGTGTGTTGACGTTATGGTATATTTTGCCTTTGTGTGTTGACGTTATCGTATATTCTGCCCTTGTGTGTTGACGTTATCGTATAATCTGCCCATAGGTTGACGTTAAGGTATATATTCTGCCCTTTGCGTTGACGTTATGGTATATTTTGCCTTTGTTTGTTGACGTTATGGTATATTTTGCCTTTGTGTGTTGACGTTATCGTATATTCTGCCCTTTAGATGGACGTTAAGGTATATATTCTGCCCTTTGCGTTGACGTTATGGTATGTTTTGCCTTTGTGTGTTGCCGCTCTAGTATACGTGTCCTTGTGTGTTGTTGTCGTAGTATTCCTGTTGTAAAACCCACAAATCTACCTAATATTCTGACAGGATGTTCAGTGTTGACATCAGCAAATTGTGACCTAGCCATTATACAAAATATTATATGTGCTAAAAGATATATCTAACATATTGAATGATTTGAATTAAAAGTAACTTTCCGTTCTAAACAAAACAAAACAGGGATATATCTTTTCATAAAAGATTGTCTCTAATAGTATATTAGACGTATTCAATTAACTTCTATACTTTATGAATAATGATATGTCTTAAGTACATGTACTTTAAAATATACCACATATTTACATTATTATATATCTCATATACTGTATGGTAAATTTTATATGTATATTAAATATACCTTTTGATATATCTTGGCATTGGCACATTGTATTTTCATTATGAGAGATCGAATATACTTTAAGGTACATAACATCTATTTGTATTAGCATGTTATGTAACTAAGATATGAAATGTATATTAATAGTATAAAACTAAAAGGACGACCGTCCTCTAGCCGATACTCCTATCCAGTACAGACAGCAGTTATTATTTATGACACTCACTGACACTCCATATGTATATATCATACCATATAAGGTACTTCGACATATATCTGACATAATTTTTTTTATACTTACTGACATATACATATAACTAATATAAGAAGAAATTAAACACAATAGAAACGGAGAATTTTTGTCATACATTTTAACATGCACTTGTATGTCGAAGGTTATGAGCCGATAGCTAAATGAGACAGGACACAGTAGTTTAGCTTACCGGGATAAACTTTCACAATGTAACTAAGTGCATACATGGTGCACACGATAAATACAGATAAAAAATAAATGCAACACTAACTCCAATCCGCCATCAACAGGGTGTCCTGTTTACATAACAACATGCACGTGATGCGACACATTCGTGATATTCTTAAATTAACAGATACTGTTGTCTTACGTCAATATACTATATAATCACACCCTGTAACTAGACAATATTATAACAGAATACATACCATTTTGATGGGGAAGCAGTTATATGTCCATGGGTATCCTCCGTGTGGTACTACAGAAGTACGGAAAACTTAGAATACCGTCGGCCTGTAAACGCTAAGTGTCGATGTGTAGGCATTGATTTGGTCTTTTGACTATGTCACTACGGTACATATGTATACATTATACACGTACTGAGGTCTAGGGGTAAATGTACTGATTCCATAGACCCCATGGTATAAATGAGGTATCGTCAATTCCAATGCCAATTAATATTCAAAAGGTCGTACATGGGGCCAGCGAGGGGGGTTATATTACAATGTGTGCTACGTGTGTTAATTAATTGACATTAAAGTTAGTACACCTATAAGCTGGGACGTATTTCCTGTACAATATTAATCAAATATCAATCATATAAAAGGTGTTGAAATTAATCCAGATTTTAAAGTAATAGTTAATTTTTTCAAGTAAGCATTTGGCATGGTAGATTAGGAGACCGTTTTTAACCTCCAACAAAGAAATATTTTTATTTTACAAATCAGATGATATGTTATGTGGAAGACAACCATAGAAGGAAGTGGTATTTTGTATTCATGGACAGTTTTCATACGTTTATCAGTTAAACATTATAACATAACCATCTTTCTTAAAGACTTAAAGCTTGAGTCGACCACGGTACACACACTGTATAGTTATGTACCGTGGTCGACTCAAGCTTTAAGTTGGTGAGCTCACCAATATACTCCATGAGCGTGTTGGATGTCACATAGAAACTCTAGCCCAGATTACTTATTCAAAGTCAATTGTTAATACACGAGAGATTTTAATTTTAAAATGATTTAAACTTGTTTAAAGTGTTTAGAATTCGATAACGTTTAAAGAGGCTTTTACCATTTGAATAGTCGATCAGACTTGAAGAAGATCGTGTTTCATGCTTTAATTTCTAGTAATTTTAAATGATAACAAGTTTATGTTGGTCAACCATTCATTAACAGAAATTACTTGCGTGTAAAAAAGGAATTAAACAGTCTTAGTTTAATTTTATGTTCTAAAAATATTTGTATATTTTTTCGACTGCAGTGAAGACTTGCTTGAGCATTCAGCGTAGAACAACGTACACCATGACACTATTTGTAACTCCAATACTTTTGGTGACAGACATTTCCGTTGATTTGACAAGATATATAACAGGTACCGTACCACATGATGGTGCAGGAAACGGTTATCCCTCCGGAACACCTGGGAGGAAAATGACACCATTTTCTTTTGATGTCTGACTCATTCCTGTTGTCTTTTCTTTTTGACTGGGGAGTTTGATTTTGACTTGGGTCTTAAGGTTGTGGTATGGATTTGCCAATGTTTGTGTAAATGTCTCGGCCTATAAGAAAAAAGATTACTCCTCTATAAAGGTCGTCAAGAGTATTTGAATTTCAGCCCTATTCAATAGTCTACACACCTAAGAACGGCCTCGATATCTCGAAAGAAAATACATTTTACTTTAATCTTAACTGGAAGGTGAGAAACGGGTCTTTTCAACATAGCATTCTAACACACGGGATATCTCCCTGTTTGCTTCTTTGCTACTCAGGTTCCTCAGTAAAGAATTTCGCCGAAATGCTTGCATATATTCTTATACGGTAGGAGTAGTATATTTCAATGGGCAAACGGTTAGACGCAAGTTATTATTACCGAAGAACTTCTAAAGTTCAAGAATAAAAATCAACCATTGTTCAGCAAAATGGTGTCTCGACTCATGTACAGTAGGTAAGGTTTGAAAGACGTGTTTTGCTAGCAGGTGTAGATAACAGTCTACACAAGGACAGCAAGTGATAACGTCCTCACGGCTCACTGACCTTCCAAACTTTAAAGAGACGATATTTATTATGCTAATATTTTTGCGGTAAAAATCTTTTGCATAGATAGAGTAAATACAAAAAGCCACTGGGGTATTTATCAGATAAATATTTACTTTAATCTGCTCTGAATATACCAAAAGGAATTCTTTGTTGGCGTGGTGTGTCCCGTACACTGGGACCGGACAACGGTGACAATACTTTAGTGCTACAGATTTGTTGGAGCTAATGATATGGACCGTATCACAACTACCAGATTATTTGGTAATAGATCGATACGAATCGCAATCTATCGCTATGTGTATTTAAGTATTAGTATGTGTTTTCTGATTCATTTTAATCAAATATTTTCATACAGACTTATTCAGACGGTTGATTACTCAACCCAACTAACATTCGTACTTTGAGGTCATGATGAGGTTTTATTAAAATATTTCACACGAATGATTATGACCTCTCACCCGATTATCAAAGCATCAGAATAATTTCACTCTCATACTTGAGCCGTTTCCATTATAATTTCTCTGTGATTAGGGTGTATATTTTTACCATTAATCGTTTAAAATGAGTATACGAATATTTGATTGTACCTTTGATATTGGGGCAGTTTGCATAATAATCTATATTGAAAACGACTATATTACATTACTTCTTGCATACATTAAAGGATGTAAATCTAATTTTAAATAAGAAAAGACATATTTCTACTCGCATATACCGTAACTTATAAGAAGATAATGGACCGTAGCTACAACTGATTAATTATAGGTTGGATTCTATTTACATCGATCTACAACGATTTTGTTTCCGATCTGTGTACTGTTTATTAAATTACACTTTCATACCTTGGCACAATTAATGATGGATTTCGTATTGACAGTCATATCGTAAACCTATACTTTAAGCATGAAACTTTGGCGATGTGTGCTTTTTATGTTTCTTTTGCGTAAACAGTTTCAAAACCTGTTAGAACGAAGTAAATTTCAGCCATAAAGAAAAGTATCCCTATTATAACCGTAACACATCAGGATGACATCAGTGATATCTGTTTACGTATTGTTTGGTAAAGTGTGGTATACATCACTCTGCAGAAAGCCTATCTCTTCATAGTGTTTCGATGTAGTCCTTTATGGTCTTATACTGTTCGAGGTAACAGTTTAACATGGGAATGTTAAGTCAGTCATGAATTAGCGGTAGTGATTTTGGTTATCAAAAAGGTACGCCTTACCTTATTGATGTATGAGTGATCATGTCCTCGATTTCCTGTCTATCAGTCTTCCTTTGTATATTTACATGTCCCTACTCCTATGTATTTTTGGTCAACGTGCTATAGGTATAAATGTCTGTTAATTCGGCTTACATTGCTACCCTACATGTTATGTTGAAGCTTAACCCGCAAATCTCCCTGTCCATTGTTCCACTAGTACAACAATGACGTTTTCAATCTCAATGGCAGTCTATAATCGGATTTAATGTGTTATTAGCTACGGTAGGCATACATTCACTGTTAACTGAAAACTACTATTCAGATAAAATAATGAGCTTTCCATGTCCGTGTGTGGGCTATGTCTAGTCTGCTGGCCTCGCTCAGTGTTCAGTAATTAATTCAATGGAACGTCGCCATATTTGTCTAGGAATCCTAAATAACAGTTCCTCATAAAAATAAATTTGTTCATTTCACGCTAGGGTATATGTTTTATTATATGAGGGTTTTCTATCATGTTTTGTTAGTGGGTTTTTTCCACAGAAATTAAAAATTATAAAACCTATTATAAGGAATATATTTTGATTTTAGGATTTTTTTAGAGACATCATAATTTCACTTCAAATCATTTTGATTCTGCCATTACTGTAAATTACAATTATTTCGCGAGAAATATATTTTCGTGTTTATCCGAAATAAAGTCGATTTTGAAGACATTTGTTCCGAATCATACTGCAATAACAAAGAGCTCCACTTTGTCACGATCATGGTTATGCCAGAGGAAGGTAAACATTTTAATTGTTTCCTGGTAACATGTTTCAATTTCTATCTTTGATAACGTTTTAACATATAGTCAATACTACTATTTTATGTAACTGTTTAGCTGGATACATTCGGGGATTCTACGGAGAGGATTATATTTTGAGGCCAGGGCATGTAACGTTAGTTGTAATAATCAGCATTCGGTAAATTTAACATTTTGTTAAAATATATATGTCTCGCATTCCGTGTTTTAGTGTTCTTTACCGATACTGCTGTCTCTGTAAACGGTTATTCTCAGACGTCATTTGTAAGCTGAAGATAATTATAAGTCTTAACTTGTCAAAGCTATCAAATAGGCACTTTTGCAGACATAGATTGTTTTTCTGTGTCGTTCTATTGCACGTCATTAAATTGCTAGCGTATAACGATGAAAGAGATTATTCCTATACCTGATAAAATATTGAGATGATTAATCAAGACTTGTAACGTTTTTGAAACAGATTATTCGTAAGTTAGTTATCATATGTAACTTAACAGAACCAGTGTTTAACATTAGCCAGCTATGTTATCGTAATGTTCACCATCAACCGACCGAGATTGATGGTGGACAGTGTTAAACATAGCTGGCATATGTTTAACACTGGTTCTGATACCATCATTTCCTAGACATTTAATTGACTAAGTGTAACTAAAGCATAAATGTAGTATAGCCTTTGTGTCATCTGTATTTTTGAATATTTATGTTGAAACAATACTATTGACTTTTTATAAGAGCTACCAGGCACATTATCTCGGTTCACGATATTTTAGCCTGAAAGATCATATGTTCTAGATACAATAGTTCGAAAAGTAAGAAAAGGCCAGTGTGTTGTCCTATTCTTGTTTTTTTCATTGTATTTGCTTGCACAGTACACATTATTTAATTATCAAAGGTATTTAACAACTACCGTCTTTCTCAAGGCCATTTCTTTTAAAATGTTGAAATCTGAGGGTCTGTATGTTCCAATACAAGTAACCATGAGTTTAAGTGACTTTTCGTGCTCCTGAGATTCTCTTATTTGAAGAATAAAAATGGATATTCAGATAAATCATGGAAGAATGATCAACTTCTTTTCCTAAATTAATATAAATTTATGTTTCTCTCAATTAAATGCCCCAAACAATGATAGTTTACCTTAAGTTATGAACACCTCACATATGGCGTTTAACAGCAAAATCGGGTTATTCAACATTTAAGTTATCACAAAACGAATTGTGGACGGGCAGACTAAAGTCTAGTATAGGGCACTGGCATCTCTCGATGCGTGACGCTTATTGATGAGATTTATCCTCTTTTCACAATAAAAGACGAGAACACAATAGTTGATTAACTGATACGTCTTTATTTGTACTAACCCAGTAACACATGTACTGTCTACCATTGTTTTATGCATATAGACGTGAAGGTCATTATCACAGATATTGGGCAATATATATTCATTATCTTAATATCACATTTCATATCACATATGTTACTATCACAATAATCTACAGTAAACCACAAAACATATTATTATTGACATTCATATCTTTATTTTGACTTTTCTGTTTCCCTTTTTTAATCAAATATAAACATTGAGAACAACTCGGCTACAAGCACTTCCTTGATTGTCTCTTCATGTCTGACTTCGAAATTCTAACCTAATATATCTGTAAGTGTGGAATTTTTAACACAATCCAGCTAGAGTTTTCTCCCTTGACAATTTTCCTATTTGAATTTCTTTATAAACGAAACAAAACGATGGTATTTCAATATATTATCACATCTTACAGAAAAATCGAACAGCATATCTAGTGCTAAAGTAAAGTCTGCAATACAATTGGTTACGAAATATTTGTTAATATAAATGTATTTTGTTTTGTTACAATTTTATGAACAGCAAAAATAAAGATTAACAATGACAATGGAAGTAATCTCTCGCAGGTCGCCTTAAATCAAAATATTATTATTACGTAAACGATATTTTATGAGTGATACTAAACTATGGTTGTAACTTATAGAGCGATTTAATTTTCAAATATAATAAGCGAGCTCCAACGAGTGAATTTAAGAACATATTCACGAAATTGGATATACATCATATTCAATTCACACTCCATGGATACCTTGTTCATCGCATTACCATATATACAAAGAATTAAATGAAGAGAAGCTTTATTTGTACGGAATGTATGATTGGATTTTTCCAATCTGTGTCATTTTTGTGTGTAAAATGCGATATCAAAATGCACGCGTGATGTCTACAAGCACTGACGTCACATCACGTAACATTGTCAAGGAAGAACAGAAATACACGTAAAATAGTTTTTCATATATGAATTTAAAGACAATTACGGAAAGTTTGAAAATTAGAAGATTTTTTTTACAAATAATAGAGTGGACTACCTTGACCTATAAACAAAACTATTCACCGTTTATAATTAGTGACATTTAAAAATCATAACAGTGAGATGCGTTCATTAATGTGCTTTCATCCAATTTTCATTCTTGGCAGAAAAAACCCGATAGATGTAAATCAACGGGTTTCGATTGTTAGAGCTGTTCTTGTTTCTTGTTAAACTTGAATCAATAACATAATTATATGACTGTTACGATTTCCAGTTAAAGAAAGTGGTTTTTTTTCAAAGAAATGATCAAGTAAGTTATGTTAGCACTATCAAACCAGTGACTGATTATATTCACATGTACAGGAAATTGTGTATTTTTATAATGTATACGTCTATAATGTATAAGGCCCTATACATGTGGTATACGTGTACAGTAAAGACACCAAGCTTTGATAATTGGGTACTGCTCTTCAGATAATATAGATAATCGCATTACAAAACTGAGATGTATGTCAAATACCTAGCAAGACGGTAAGAGAAAAACAAATCCAGATTGGAGAGTAATTATAGTGATTTCAAATAAGCTCTAAACAGAACTCTGTTCCGTCTTTGATTTTCAACACAACAGTAAGCACTATGAGTCATAGGTTTTTGTGGGAGGGATGATTACGCTATGTAAGAGACATTTTAAACAATGAGTTCATTTATTATGGCACCAAATAAAACCAGGCAAATAAAGGTACGTGTAAGCTCCCAATCATTCTCACCAACAACTTACATATGGAAGTAATTCCGGACTTAACCGTTCATCAGCTTCAAGACAAATACATCTATAGTGTTTTCGAGAACATTTGATATCTATAGTTGAAATCGAATTAATATGACTTTAAAGGTACTATGTCGACTATTCAAATATATCTAATACAAAGTCCTTTTGAATATGTCCGCTACTTACCACCTATAGAAATCTTTATATCGTTACAGGTATAACTATGTTATACAAATAATTTTATAAATTTCATTGGATATTTTAAAAACCAAACACGAGTAAAATATTTCCCTGGCATAATATGATTGTTTCGATATAAAAGAAGTTTGCAATGTCGAAATATCCAAATCTCATGCGATTTTTTAAGACACTTGACAAATGTTATGTCTTTTAATTTGTTTGTATTTTATTTGCTTCTATTTATGTAACCATCATTCGTTAGGACACCCCTGTAGAACAGTCGGGCTATGGTGGATTTTTTATCATGCTTTCACATTATTTTTACTTCCATAGTAACAAACAGCATTTTAAATTGGTAAACAATTTGTGCATAATTTCATCAACTATATTTACAAAATAAAGAGTTAAAACTGGTGCGTTTCACACAGAATTCTAAAAAAACATTTAGATTTTTTCAGCAACCACAATAGTGTATATTAAAAAGGAATTTCAAAATGTATATTGACTCATTATAACGGACAAAGTGACGTTATTGTATATGACTTGAAATCATCGAACGTTATACTTAAATGCCATTAAAAAGAACATGAAATATAACAATGCACTAATTTAAATAGAACATGTTTTACGGGAATAAAAAAAAAAATCAAATAATATACAGTCAAATCAATTAAAGAATAAATTAACACTTAGAATAGTACAACATACATATGTTTCACCAGAAATGTTTCCAACAGAAAACCATCCACATATCTAACCATTTAAAGTTACTAAACTGTGTACATTCATCCAGAAATCCCCTTTAGTTGGGTGTTAAAAGGATGGGTTCCATGGATTCATTGCCCACTTGTTTTGAAGCAAAAAATATCTCTGGTCTTAAACATGTCCGGAAGAGATGCATTTTCCCATCATTATTTTTGGCCTTTCTTTACTTATGAGTCCTTGACCAGCTATTGTTCTTGTGGTGTACATACACAACATTTTATTAAACAAAAATGCCAATTTGTCCACACAAATCTGTCCATAGTGTTCCCATTTTCCAAACATAATTATGATAAAGCATCTAGCTATGACATTGGTCATGATGATACAGGTCCTAACAGACGTTCGTCATCCATTGTTACGTTTGCACTACTGCGTGCTGCTATAGAGTAAGCTTTCTTCATCCTCTGTTCGTCTTTTAGAGCCTCATCGTAGATATCTGGCTCCACAAACACAAGTCCTGCCCGAGGTCTCAGAGAACCATCAAACTTCGGCGTCCAGTTGGCTAAAACAAAACAACTCAATGTAAGTAAATACATCATCTTCTTCTATTTCCTTTGTAACATGGTGATCGGATGAATAGATAGATGATGTGAAATGATGTTAGCCATATAGATTTCGTATTTGTTTAATGATAAATGACGCATTTAGGTTCCATTATAATAGTTTTCGGAACTCTGTATCAATTGTCAGTTGGTTTTCGCACATGCAATACCTAAGTTTAAAGACATTCTTTAATTTGTTGATAAATCGTCTGTTTGTGGGACACAGGTTTGTATTAGGTAAGCACTTTAAAACATATATATATCGATATTTTTAGGAAACAAAATAGCAATTCATCATCGATGTGTCTTTATATCAATGCATCAATTATACAACTAGAGAACTTAAAGCGAATACCACTTTCCTAACCCTTCACCGTGACATTGTTCTGTAGAATTAAGATTCTTTTCTACCTCAACACCATAACATTGCACAGCAAATAACATTTCTAAATTTCTAAGATCACCCTGTGAGAGATGTGTGTGTTCACTGTACAACAGCGTCTTTATAATTAATAATAATATGTTAGAGAGGAATAGGGTTAAAATCTAGTGAAAGCAAAATATTAATAAAAGATAAATATAAAAAAATAAAAACATCTGTAAAACAATGATCAATTAATGAAAAACAGGTTCACATTCACACAAATTTACAATATATATTTCACTGCAGTTGATAATGATACGATGAATGGAATGAGGTTGTCTCCCCTATTTCAAGTGAAGAGATGAAGGGAAATAACCTGTTTTTCTGATAAGCAGGCCATGCATTGCATCTACAATATCATTCCGCAATATAGCATTACAATAGCATTGTACAATAATATATTTATATATATCATGTGTATATGTATAAACATTACCAGTATTTGTAAAAGTCAAAGGCATTATTGAATTTAAAGCATAACTTCATGACAATTTTGCAGATATTCCTGTCAACTGAAACAAAACCTCTTAATATATACATACATTGTGAATACATTCAAATATCAAAGTAAAACGAGTGTAAGCAAACGGCTGAATCTATTTGTTTGCATGTAGTGAACCACATCCAACAGAAAACGGAGAAAACAAAACATTTCAGTGTGTATATTCAATATTTTGGTCATGATTCATTGGCACTCAACTGAATTGTGGCCAGTAAAGTGAAGATTTCAGAAGCCTGTTTTTTTTTATTATTATTGTTTTGGAGTAAACATAAAAAGAAAAAGAAACACCATTGAAAAAACCTTATTGATTCATTTCTTTATTTTTAAAATTTTAAAATGTAAAAAAGCAATTTACTAACTACATTTATTTAAAAAAAAAAAATGGATCTAGCCGTCTGCTTACTCAATGTTTTTCCCTTTAACATATCAATTATTACACCATGCATTAATATCCTTTGATAAAAATGAAAAGCAATCAATTCATGCATTATGGTTTATCAGTAATTATATTGAAATGATTTTCAATATTATTTTGCTGAAAATAAAACATAATCTACTCATAAGGTTAATAGTTGTTTGAAATATTTACATCAAATTCAAAGCGAGCGTACAAGAGATTAATGTTGTTTATTTATTAGCGGGGATTCATACCAGTTCTAAGTAAAGGAACAAATAGTTTCGCATCACTGCAATTATCATCTTTTTGATTAAAAGTGTGATTTTTCCTACAATAAATATGAAACATAATTACAGCAACTAAAATCATACTACATGAAGCATTAAAAAAAAATTCTTAAAAAAAAAATCTGTTTTTTACTTTACTCAGCAAAAAGAGGTTAGGGGTCACATTATTGGAATGAAGCAACTTAATAGAACAAATCATGCTTTTCATTAGTACTGTTTCCACACTGCTAATCAAAAAGGTAATTTCAGCACTACTGATGCGTTCAACGCTAAGTATGGTAGCACAGGAGACGACTACACTACAGCTTTGTGTATTAGTTAGTTATGTTTCATGTGTTTCTCATATATCTGAAATAATATATTTTATTCCTGATTTGAGTCTCTTGCAACAATTTCTAAGTATATATTTCAAACTTAAAGTTATACATTTTATCTTAAATACTGGAAAAACTAGCTTTCAATCTACACAGTACACATATATTGATGAAAGGTTGAAATGTAAAATTCACCAAAATTGTATATTGAATTAGAAAGAAAGCATAAAATCTCCTTTAACAGTTATGATTTAATTTTACATGCATCCGACACTCCGGGGGATGGGGTTTAGGACTCGGGTTGGGGGTGGAGAGGGATGTATGGCGGATAAAAAGAAAAAAAAATGAAAATCATTACATCCCCGACTGTTGCGGGAGGGGAGGTCTGGAAAGTGGTGGGGTAATTAAATACACGGATGCAAATACAAATGGAGACGGATAACCCAGTCAACTGCTTCGTAACGGTTAGTGTGTCTACACATGCAGCATATCACCGATAACGAGTTCGCCACGCTACATACCTTCACTATGATCTACAATGACAAAGAGGATACAGAGGATCATTAGTGGGCAAGTTTATAGACAGGCATATGTCATAGTGGACAGCAATAGTATAGTACAGTACAGATAAAGATGCAGCCAGACACTACTGCAGCTGAAAGCACGGTAAGTATTCTATAATACAAAAGTCAAAAATGAAAAGGACAGGAACAGATCAGTTGTTGTTAACATATAAAGAAGTGTTCATTACCTTTTTGGGCAAAAATTATTTAGATAACATTCCATCATATCCATCTCTGATATAAATTGAGCATATTTTGAAGAAAACAAAATATCTTCATAACCGTATTCTGTAGATTTGTTCTTACAATTTTAACTTAAATATGTTATTAATATATTTTGTCAATAGTAAGTTACTAGTATTACAGTGGGAGAAACTACAACTAAATCGGGATTGCTTAAATGACTTGAACGATTTTTTCGTTTCAATACTTTTAAATTCATCAAATAGTGAACGCTCGACTTGAAGCTTGTGAAATTTGAATTTCTATTAAGCGGATAGAAATATTGCTGGCTATGTATGCTACGCAATGAACTAATCAGCATGCCAGTCGTGTTTCCTAGGAGAAGTTTCAGAAACTAGGAATAGTAGAAGCAACAAAATGAATTCAACAGAGCTAATCATTGAGCAGTAGCATCAAAGCTTTTGGATAAATATCTTTGTTCGGTTGTGTATATGATCCACCTTTTCACACTGAAAACTATTTTCGTCAAAAGATCTTTCGATTTCATTTTTTAAACTTTCGTGAACACAATAGTTTGATCATATTATCTCTCTAAGACACATTTTATTAATAAAACAGGTTTTGGAGATAATTATCTGAATATTCAATTAGGTCATTTACGAACAATAAATGTTTATGAATAACGACAAGGAAACAATTATTTTGGTTTTCAATGAATCAAACTTATAACAACATGTTCTGACGAAGACAACATTTTCAGTGAGAACAACTTTGGGTACTCATCTGTAGAAATATAGAAGTTATTAGATATCTTGTTAGTGTCTGCACATCCTACACTCCCATAGGAACAAACCAGTGACATTTTGGCTATAGAAGAAGGGCATTACGTTGAACTATGGATATAATTAACTTTTCACATTGAATACCTTGAAAAGATTCATATGTCGTTACTTCACAATCATGAATACAACATGGTTAAACCTATCTCGATATTACCTGGTCCGTCATAAAATTCTGTTTAAAACATCAAGTAATGGAGAATATTTGAGTAGGAGTGCATAATTCAAAACTGCCTAATCCAATAAACTAGTTTTCAATTAAATGGGGTGAATATGTAAGATTGGTTCAAATGTAATACAAATATCAATTTTACCATTTCTTTTGAACTTTTGATACAAGAAATTGTGCTTTTCTTGCAATATTCTGACTAACCAAGTGTATAACTGACAGTTTTCTGATGTTGGAAGTGCAGACACCGAGATCTAGCCAATGAGTATAGAGTATGTAAGAAGTATGATAAACAAGAGAAAGGGATTGCGCCTTGGTATCATGCTGATGGAGGAGTAACCCTCCTGTCTACCTTGCTCCAACACGCCTTTACGCACAAGCCCTTTTTTGCTCTTCACTTTGTTTCCTGTTGACGTAAGCGTGTAAAAATATAATGTGATCCATGCATACACTTTGCCGTGATTTCTGTATATCAAATCAGTGTATCAAATCTCATACTAAAGATGTCTCCCTGATAACAATATGATATAATTCCGCTTCCATTTCAATGAATGCAAACTGATAAATATTTGTATAAATTGATTATCAGGGAAATGCGAATACATAATTAACGTTATCACATATTTAAGTCACCCTTTGGAACATCCGTTTTAAAAATTATGAAAAAGTTCGATGCAAGTGTTGATTTCATGCACAATATTTCAGTATACTGCATTTGTTTATTATTACTTTAGTAATTAAAAAGGATTCAAGAACTGAATCCTAAAAGAATGAGGATAACAATATCTGCACCCTATAAATAAGATTAAATGATTTGATATTATTATACAACTTTACACATACTCATTTATATCAATATATATATATATAGTTACCAATCAAGGTATCCTAATTTTGCATTCTTCAGATTCAAAAGGTATATTCTTGCCAAAAAACTGATTTTTTTTTTTTTTTTTTAGAACTTATATCTGAAGAATACAAATATATATTTTAGCAATGGACAGTCTGTTTCAAAGAATACCTCATCCTAATTATAAATCAGCTGTTTAGTTCAACAAACACTGGTATCATGATGCAACTTAAACTTTTAAGTCCAAATTTCAATGTGTTCAGTGCACTAGCAGGATGTGAATTTACACATTAATATACAAACTTGCAAACGATCTAAGTGGTGAAACTGCGATATTGAGATTTACTTAGTTTCTATGATAAAATTAAAATCTATTATAAAATGAAATTTTAAACAACCTACAGGACAGTTTCACGATACCATAGGCTTTCTCTATAAATAATAATCAAATGGACTTCATTACCGCTAAAATTGTATCTGATTAAATTCAAATAAAATTTAAGCTGTCAGTATTAGTATAAAATTATTCTTTTATGATTTTGCCATTTTACATTTAGTTATCATAAGCAATACATTTAACCTCGTAACATTTTTGTAAACATATGACTTCTTCTATCTACTTTCCAACCATTAAACGGTAATATTTTGAAACAGACATATCCAATAATTCATGCTGTTAGAAAGCTGCTACACGCATGCGTACCGAATGGATTATCTGGTTCTTTCTTTACCCTCCGCATGCCGTATTCCGTCATCTGAACAGTGATCTCTCGGTCCATACCATACTGGGCCTGAGACATACCTCCGCTGGTCATCGTTATCTGAGATTTTGGGCGTGGGGTAGATGTGTATGCAATCCGTGGCGTAGATGACTTAAAAGAGTGAGCCTTGCTATTTTTAACTGAAATAAAAGAGGTTAGAATAAATACAATTATGAAGTCATGTGTCACTTGGTATTGCTAATTTAGCAGGTCCTCTTTGGGCTTGTTATAAATGTAGAGATTGCGGTAGCCAAGTCAAACGGAAAGGTACATCATTGTTCGAAATGCGAATGTAATATTGCAAAAGCACTGCTACACCCTAGTACTTACGATCGGAGTAGTCCTGATCAGGTCCGTAGACATTAAGAAGTTTCCGCCTTAGCTCTTCATTCTTTTTCTTGTGCCATTCTTTGTATTTCTCTCTCCTTGCCTTCTCTGCACTCTCGGCCTGAGACTGGGCTTCATCACTCCTGTAAGTGCATTAGAAAAATACATTGTCACATTGTCAACACACAAAGACAAAATCAGACATAAAATGTGATAGGAACAGACAACAAGAAAAATTGGCACAAATATTTTCAAACCAATCGTGATACCTTGTTATGTGGTGTAGTTGACATATCAAATGGTATGATATCAAATATATGCACCTCAAACTATACATCACAATGTTTACATTTGAACTTCAAAATTACAAAAGTGTATGTTTCACATAATTCCAGAATGTGTTGAGAGTACATACAAGGACTCTTGGATGAGCCACTGGCGCTCTCTCTTTGTCGAATTGCCAGACTTCAGACGATCCGTGACGTCTCGGCGGAAATCGTTCTGGAGCTGGTCATTCACTTTCTTTGCCTCGTTGAGACTATTTGAAGTCTTGCTGTGGACAGACTTCAGCGATTCGTCGGTTTTTTTCGCCGCATCCTTCATTCTGTCGTCCAAAGCTTCTCGCTCAGCCTCTCTTTCAGTCATATCAAACTCCTTAATCAAATCAATTTAACTTTTAAATTTTTTGTAAATCTCTTATCCGAGGTATTTTCAATGCTAAACTTTAAAGCATATCATACAAGAAATAGTTCAATTTATATTCAAAACATATTTAATATTCAAAAACGTTTCTTAGTATACCAAGTCAGACTACTACCGGAGATAATGCACAAGATTATTTTCCAATGCAAGACAAAACGTATCAACTAATTCTGAAAGAATTGCTTTACTTTTTCTATATTGCATCCTTTCACTTTCACAAAACAATCTAAATGTGGTGAATTATGAATGGAGATGTAGAATTAGGAAATGTGAATAAAACTTAATATATGGTAAATGAAAATACAAAGTTCTGTTCCCCGTGTCCTATGAATCGGTCAATATAAAGACTTTAGTTTACATATATTTGATATTATTGTAAGGATTATTTGTGGTAAACTCTGTTCTGACTCTAGTTTATTAAATGCTTTATTACAGGTTCGATGCAGTTATATTTAGAAAAGGATAAAAATCATTTGACAAATAACAATAACTGCTTCCTTTATATATATACATTTATCTATTACTTTGCATGTACTGTTTAGTGAACATTTCGTTACATTGCAACTTCCAACTTATTTTTTAAATTTGTCGTGATGAGTTTGTTGTAGGCGGGTACTTTTTCAAATACACAGTAAATATTTCTTTCCACATAATTAAATTGTCATGACAAAGAGAAAAAAAAATCAACTCATCAAATGCAAAGATGAGTTTTCATTATTATAGTTTCTTCTTTCGATTTTCCAAATAATTTTGGTTTCCTGAATATCAAACAATAATAATATAATGAACGGAATAAGTCAGGTAAGGGTTCAGAATACACACTCTGTACAACTATCTGTTTTCATGTAAGAAGATCATAACAGGAACTAAATAATGTCAAGCCAGTAGTCGGTATTGCCCGGTAAACCTGCATCAAGAGTAATCTGTAATTTGCTATCTAATCTCCAAATATAACGATATCCTGAGCAATTACAAAACATAAAACAGCCAGTTAAATGTGTGTTCAATGACTCACAAGTAAAATAAGCCAGCTAAAAACTCATAGATCCATAGTATGCTTACTCATGACCCGAACTTCATTGTTTTTATGAACGTGATACATAATTCTTTACCAATATAGTGTAGTGTTCGTGTATTCTCCCGATTTCTTACAAAAAAATAATAGAGTTAAAGTTTTAACATTCGTCAAAGTTATAGGTCTTGGTGCGTTAATAGAATAAATTCACAAGGAAAATCCAATCAGCGCTACGCCGACAAAACATTTTTGGCATGCAGGCTTCGGTTAATGAATGAATATTCATGAATATGAAACAATCGCTGAATGAAACATTGCATATTGCATTCACTGACGACAAACACAATATGCATGTTCGCTTCACAAATGATACAATTGTAGAGCTTATAAAAAGTATCAATCGTAATTTGAATAACTACAGTTTACGCATGCTCTTATTCAAAACTGCATTTAAATGGCGATAAGAAATGACTGTGTTCTCCGAGGTTTCTGCTCACGGTAGCACTGAACCTGGTGTTGCTACCCAAAATTTTAAAACGACAAAATAGGTGTTAGTAAGGCTAAGTAAGTATGCATATTGTGACCAATATTGATGTTAATAGTGTGCAGTGAAACAACAACCATATCATGCTTGACTGCACCCGATTAAACTACATGCCTCAAATATTAGGTGTATGTAATTGTATCCTTACAATCAATTACTATGTGTAATTTACACATACAATACATTTCAGTCTTATTGTGTTAAACATTTGAGACAACTATTATACTGTGGAGCCCGTTGAATACAAATACGTATATTGAGCAATCAGTTTCATCTAAAAATAATCTAGATATGATTGAGGAACTTCATGATGAATGATTAAAACCAATTCATTTGAATGAGACGAACAAGTGGAGAAGTTACGAAAACAATCAATACGATCCTATCATGATAACACCACAAACTCCACGTACATGGGGAAAAAATATTGGTTCAACATTATTGTGCTACTTTTGCTTGCATTTCAATGGATATTTAGAGGCTAGAGCCTGGTTATCTTGTCCTTTCAAAATAGTCGATTTACCTCTTTAAATCTTAATTCAGCATATCTGTTGTCCACACTACGTTTAGCAGAGTTTGCCGATTTCTCCGATCTAGAAGGCCGAGTCTTGTCAGGAAAAATACAAAATTCATGGTCATAACTCTGATGATAATAATCGCAACCCATAATCCACAAGATTACGCTATGTGAAACCCATGATTCCTTAATTTGTCGGACACTTTTACATACAGAATGTTATTTTGAAAATGTTGGTATTAAAGCATAACAATTGTGCAAGGTACATACAAAACATTGCGCATGATTAATTATTTTAAAAATACATGCCTATATTTCTTTAAAACACATCTATATATTTCTAAATTATATCATATTATGTCCGTGTTATACATGTGACATGGTGGATCCAGGTTACCTGGAGAAAAAAGGGAAACATTCTTGCAGAACTTGGTATATGCAACCTCTTTTAAAATCAGAAGAAAACGTAAGACTGAATCTATCAAAAAACCTGAAAATGTTATTTTTTGTAATGCAAGAAACTAGCTTTGAGGGACGAAGGGGCCCCTGGATCAACCAGTCAAACGTGAACTTTGTTTTATCATTATATACATACTGTTTAGTATATATTATCAACAAATGTAGCGAAAGGTACTATAAAATACAACAAACCTGTGATATTATCAATACTAATGTTAGTCTAAGGTGAACTTTCATGCTAAATGTGTTCTACAAAATGTTATACTAAAAAATCTGTAAAATGGAGTTACCTACCCTGACTGTGTTGGTTCCGGATCGGAGTCCAGTCCTATCATCTTCGTAGAAATGTGAAACAAACTGGAGTTGATCTGTTAACGAAGTCAAATAAGAATTCTTCATATGAAGGGGAGGTTAATAGAAGGTGTTTATGTTAATTTCAGCAAGCCGACGGGAGACAGCAGGTAGATATTTCACTAAATAAACATATCACCCGGATGTTAAATGCAATAACTATGTACTTACTGTTTCCTTGACGACGAGTCAGTAATGTTGGTATTACAAGAGATAACTAGCTTAGTTACACAATAATTGGATATAAATACACAACATTATCACAATATGTAAAGCTAAAATATTACATGCACATGCAGAAAGATCTAAAGCCAGAAGCTGATTAAGCAGAAATGTAACGAATGTTTGACAGATGAGCAAATGTAAATACAAGTTTGTTTTTATTATTATCAAGATATAAATATTGAAAATGGTGTATTATATTGCATTGTTACAGGCTTGTAATGTGAACACACACACGATAATATAATATGCAAGTGGAAACAGTATTTATATATTACAATGCAGGGGATCTGGTTTGTTTCACACGACTGTGCAGATATACACGACGGTAACATTCTTATCGCTCCAAACGTGTGTGCATGTTAAATCGTCATTTCGTCATTATTACCAATAGCTTAGTTTTGTGTTCAATATACGGCAAGTGCAAAGGGAAATTCACAAATTTGCTGCAGGTCTTCATGTGAGAAGTATAGGGTGACACATAACTTTATCTGGATGTTATAGAAATATTCTTCATACCGATGTTGTACTGTAAACTAAACGTAAGCAATTTATTTCATGTTTTACAACATGACTTATGTTAAATGAGGAACTGTATTTTTTTTTGGCAAATCTATATGAATCAAAACTTGTATTTTTTCAAGCATAGAAGTAGTCTACAAAAACATCTAGTTAAAAAGTAAAATCAAGTTAATGAATGAAAAAGAAAACTGAGAAATCTACTTGTAATGCACTGATACTGTGACACTAGTTTGGACGGGTAAACAACAACATGAGGTTAAACTCAAGTGAGCACTCCCAAATCATACTACACTCAGGTATAAATACCCTCTTTATCCTCAAAGTTATCTGAAACAGACAGTTGCTTTTGTGTAATAATATTTCTTTTACCATGTCCTTTCTTTCTCAAGTATTTTCAGTGAAAGATTCCATCGTGGGGCAGGTTGAAACATGGTGCTAGCTGTAATTGTAATATAATCATGCAACTTACCTTTCAATGTCCATAGATAGTCAAAACTAGCATTGGCGAGTAAATAAAAGATAGAAGTTCTGAAAGCTTTTCCGACAAAGATCTAAATGAAGGACGCAACCGTTTTCAAGCTGAAACAGAAGTCAGCAATAGCGTTTGGATATATAAGCATATATGAACGTAAGACTTACCTCGGAGGTAACCTTCCCAGTCCTCCAGCACCTGTGAGTCAAGCGTGCTGTCTCCGTCATGTGGGGCATTGTTTCTATACACATCCATCAGCTTACTGAACAGGACAACGTCATGCATTGGGCCCGTGTAGATCTGGGCCCGCTTGAGCTGATGAAGTTGTCTTACCATACGTCGCTCGCTCTGATACCGACGCACACTCTCCTGTATAGAGTTGACACACCGCCCACCACCTCGGCGGGTACGTAGAATTGAGTGTTCAAGATCACTTATTTCGTCTGAACGATCCATTTCCACAAGTCCTCCGTTCAATTGACTATCACGTTCACGAGCTAATTTCTTTTTGTCTTTAATTTGTTTGTGAACAGAGATAGGTTTAGAAAGCCTGTCAGGATGATACACTCCGGCTACTTGGCGGTTTCTTAGCCTGCGTGTCCTATTTTGTAATTTATTTTGGGCACGTTGTTTACGAGATCTTGGTTGAGCATCAACATAATCTTTTTCATCAATATCTTCACCTGACGAGAGCTCTGGCGAGTCACTCCTCTCGAATGTTCTTTGGCGTGAGGGTTTCCGAGAATTCGTCAATAACCCCTGGCTAATTCTACCGTCAGTGGGTACTTTGGCAGGCGACTGTATCACACGCTGCCTGCTTTGTGGTTTCTCCTCGCGATTTGATTCCGACTCTGCCCGTGATACACTTCTCTTTGCAGCTGCTACTCTCAGAGCTTCTGCTTCCGACTCGGGAGAACCTTTTGGAACCTCAAATTCTCCTTCAGACTCACCGTCCTTAGAAGCAGTCCTGACACGAGATTTAGGTTGACGATCAAGAGACGATTCTCTACTGACCACCTGGTCACCTGATAATTCAGTCTGACTGCCACTCTGTCTGGTATGATTTTTCTTTGTCTGTATTCCAGTGTCGGTTGTCTTTGGCTTCTCTTTCTCCTCCTTCCGATCAGTCTGAATTCCAACCTCTTCCTTTTGAACTTCTGCTTTCTCCTTATTATCCTTGCCTGCTGATAAAGCTGCTTTCAATCCTATCCCAGCTGCACCTGCCGCTGGAGCGTGTGAATGGTCTTGTGCTTCAATGCCAGTTTTACCACCTTGTTTTGGAGTTGCTACTCTCAAACCTTTCCTATTTGCTGCTTCCTTTTTCTTCTTCTCTTCTTCTTTGAGTTTTTCAGCAGCTTCTTTTTTCTTTCTCTCCTCTTCTTTTAACTGCTCGGCCTTTTTCTTTTTCTCCGCTTCTTTTATTTGCTCAGCCTTTTTCTTCTTTTCCTCTTCTTTTAATTTCTCCGCTGCCTCTCTCTTTTTTCTTTCGTCTTCTTTAAATTTGTCTGCTTCTTTCTTCTTCCTTTCTTCTTCTTTCAACTTTTCAGATTCCTTTTTCTTTTTCTGTTCCTCTAAATCCCTTTGCTTTTTTTCTTCGTTTTGGTCCTCTTTGCCTTTTTCCTGTTTTGACTTTTTCTTCTTTTCCTCCTCAGCTAGCAATGCTGCTGCAGCTAAAGCAGCAGTGTCTTGCTTTCCAGCGCTCTCCCCTTCCTCTTTTTCTTCTTCTTCTTCTTCCTCTTCCTCAACTGTATCTGCTTTTCTTTTCTTGCGATGAACTCGTCCACCTGCTGTTTGACCAGTCTTTCCCTTGGGCTGTTCACTTTTCTCTTTCCCTTTCTCTTTTTGGCCGTCCTCCTCTGACGATTCTTGTTCTGAATCAGCTTCTACACCACTGTCTCCACGACTGTCCTTTTTGCCTGCCTCTTTGCTTCCTCTTCTCTTCACTTTTACAGCAGTTGCAGCTGCTGCAGCCGCTGCAACACGTGCAGCTTCGTCGTCCTGTTCAGAAGATTTTCTGCTCTTTTTTCCTGCTTCGTCTATGTTGTCGTCCTCTGCTTCCTCCTCTTCTACCTCTGCCTCAGTTTCCTCCTCCTTTTCTCCTTTTCCTTTTCTCTTAGCACCAACACCTGCCTTTCCTAGCGGAACAGTTTTGTCAATAGTATCCTTCTCCTCCTCCTCCTCCTCTGACCGGCTTTCTTTCCGTTGTTTCTCTGAATCCTTCTCCTCCTCAGACTTTCCTTTTGTTTTCTTTTTAGTGTCTGCTTCTTTATCTTTATTCTTTTTGTCTTTAGCTTTGAGACCTACACCAGCTGCTACTAATGGTTTTACTCCTGGATCTTTTGCATCCTCTTCATCTTCATCTTCCTCTCCATCTGATTTTTGTTCGTCTTTTCCCTTCTTTTCAGCTTCCTTGTGTTTCTTTTCAGCTTCTTTGTCTTGCTCTCTGTCCTTATCTTTATCACCTTTTCCTCCTTTTTTGCCTTTGGAAGGAGAAGAAACTGGAGTCAAAATAACATCTCCCTTTTTGTCATATTCAGCTTGTTCCTCTTTTTCACGCTCTTCTGGTGTACTCTCAAGTGTGAGTACACTCCGGCGGGATTTAGCTGACTTAGACTCACGCTTGCCTGTTTTGTCAAGATTTGAAGCAGAGTTTCCACCTTTGCCCTTGATATACTCAGCAGTCTCTTGGTTACCTTTTACTACTGCAGCATCATAGGGAGTGTATGTCTTATCCTGCAAAATACAAAGGGAGACAAATCTTAGATAAAGGGAAATGATTTATACATAAATATATTTTCAATGTTTTATGAACTTTGAAATACTTATCTATACGAATTTTACTAATGACTTTGCAAACAATTTCTTCAGCAAATCAATCAAAATTAAACATTTTAAAATCAAAATGTCTTTAATGGTGGAGATCTTCTTAGTAACGTTGTTCATTTAATATAACAATGGACAATGAATATTTGACATTAGGGTCAAGAGCAAGAGGTGCCCAAAACATTTCAATTTTGTCTTTGCTTACCAAAGATATAATAACACTAGACAAGGCTTCATCAGGGTCACTTTTTCTATAGTATGCTTTCTATGCTATGTAATGTATTAATAGCCTGATCTAGTTTGATCATAGCACCAAGGTTCAGTAAACAATGTTTTAAGATGCATATATGGCTGATATTGCTATTAATAAGTCAGTCCCCTGTACTGTCATAAGATCATATGGACGTGTTGAATATAACTGTAACAAGAAAATTAAACACCCGAGAAATTATGACTGAGATGTTCGTGACATTTGTATCAGATAACACATGTACAAAAGTATCCTAAAGTCAAAAAATAACTTCCCCTTATAAAAGTAACTTGATACAATAACAAATACTTGTGAGAAGGACAGCCTACCAAACAAATCAAATTGTTGTAATGACGCCAAACCTTGGCCCAGTACTTGTTGTAATTTTGACACTTGAATTCATTGATTTTCCCCCCTGTACAGATTTTGTCTGATAAGAAGCAGAGATATTTTACCAGGTATAGTTATTGATCAATCTGTAGGGGTTTATTTTAAATCAATGACAAAAACAAACAGACAAAACCTTCAGTGTATATTACCATGTAAGATACAGCTAAATAGGTCTTGTTCATTCTTTGATATTTTCCCATTGGTTATTCTATTGATAGGAATTTTGAAGGAATTTTCATACAAATCATCGTTTTTTCACTAAAATTAACCAATATCAAAATCAAAATTCAATCCCTCAAAATAATTGTCAGGTCACCAGGTGTGTTCATTTCTAAATCAAGTAAATTTGGTCCAAATTAAATAAACAGTGCCAGATAGAAGAACAGACATTTAAATATGTAGCTATACACTGAAGCATAAATCTCATTAATCCAGCATGATAACAGAAGTAATTATTGATCACGTTTTAATCAAGCGTGAACATATAGCATGACTAAAATGAATGAATAACACTCTGACAGGTGGTCTTCTCAGAGGGGTGCTAGGCCCATATATAACAGGTAAGGGTAAATAATATACACCATACATAAATCACCAATGATTAGAACAAATTTCTTCTATATACATCTGTAAAGTCTAGACCAATAAAGTAACTGTTAAATAACTGTATATAATTTTGAAACAGGGACAATTTTAACAGATATCAGTTATGCCTTTGAATCCTGAAATTTTGATCTGTTAAAGATGTTGAACTTCTAGATTAAAATCAACTCGGCATTGTTAAAATTGACATACATGTTCACTACTGCTTTAGGGTATAGGGAATAAAAAGAGTAACTTAGAAATTTATATACAACATTAAATGTGCCAAAGTTCAAGGATATATGTAATAATTAGGTCACAACAACAATATTACCTGTCTATCTAGTCTGTAGATACCATTAAGAATCTCCAGTGTAGGTATTTACTGACTATACACTATATATATATATATATATAGCTGCCACACAATGCCTTATCCCAGGAAACCCTGTGCTAAGGACCTAACATTTGGTGCACTAGCATTCAGCTTGTACAAAGAGGCTTTACTTCTTTGATCAACACTAGCGGTGGATATTTGACCCACAACTTTGTCTACTGATATATAAAAATACTGTAAGGATTTCGAATTTAAATTGAAAATTAATTGAACTCCATTTTGAGGTATAATACATGCACCGACTACCTTTCATTTAATCAGCAGAGCTCTGTAATCACCAACACAAAGCTATTTATACTTAGCATTTACTCATATACATAATCTACAAATTTTAATACCAACTTTAATCTGTTTACTAAATCAAATTTACGTTATCAAAGATTAATGACTTGGGTAGACTGTATTATTGATTTACTAAAGGAAATGTGAACATTTATTTGACTTTTTAATCAAAACAAATTGAGAAGCTGTATTTACTTTACATGGGGTTTCGATGAGTAAATAACACTCATTTCATATAAATTTATTATATGTACAGATAATGAAACTGATTGCAAAAGAAATATAAAATTTGCTGGAATATTGTCAAAACCACATTCCTTAAACTTAAATCCTTACTAAATAAATTTTGTATTTGTGGTAATCTTAGCCTTGCTCCCTGTAACCAACTTTCTCTTCTTGAGTTGTCTGTCCTTGATTAAACAAAGTGCTTTGATTGGTATATAGCATTACATCATACACAAAATCTTGGTGTAAAAAGAATGTAGGAGTGAACAAAGGGCTGTTACTCTGTATATACCATGACACAACGCTTAATTTAAGGGTAATATATATGGTGTAAAACATTATTCAATCGGTAATTCATATGATGTAACACATTGTTCAATGGGTAATTCATATGATGTAACACATTGTTCAATGGGTAATTCATATGGTGTAACACATTGTTCAATAGATATTACATATGGTTTAAACCATTGTTCAACAGGCAATTCAGATGGTGTAACACAATGTTCAATAGATAATACATACAGTTTTAACCATTGTTCAATGGATAATTCATATGATGCAACACATTGTTCAATGGGTAATACATTTGATGCATGTAACACATTGTTCAATGGATATTACATATGGTTTAAACCATTGTTCTACAGGCAATTCAGATGGTGTAACACAATGTTCAATAGATAATACATACAGTTTTAACCATTGTTCAATGGATAATTCATATGATGTAACACACAGTTCAATGGGTAAATCATACCATATAAATGCAAAACATCCTGAAAACATGTTATTTATGACTTTAACAATCAGTAGATATTGATACATGGCATTCATAGAAGAAAAAACTCATTTGGTCTGGAATGTCAGAACCATATCTTCCTTTTCCAATACACCTGTTATATAAATGACTAACAGAAAATTGGTGAAATTTAATAAAAGTACAATCAACTTGCTTTATAGAATATATCAAATAATTAATTATCTTTTAAACAGAAGCATAACAGTATATTGACTAAACCATTGTAGACCATTTACAGACATACACTATAGAGTGCACTAGTTACATTTACTGTAACACTGCCTATAATGATGTTCTAGGATGCAGACCAAATTCTCCATACCTACCTGTGGTATGATCTACTGTAAGTTATATACCTTTACCACTGTCAGCAGGACATACAATTCTCACACTGACAGCACAAATCCTTTAGATACTCCTCAAATCTTTAAGGCAAATATGGCCTCATTTACAATCCGCTATCCAAATATGTTATTTACTTGGGGACACCCAGACCACTCAATCCACGAAATATCCACAATGGTTTGTGTATTGAGAGACTTTCATCTGAGTGCCATCCAAAGCCTAATATTGTCAAACCCACTTCCTATTGAGTACTGTAATACACAATAGCTCTACCTCACACAAGTCTTGTACGTAGCATAGAATTGGTCGACTGCCTGTAAGGAGGAACTATAGCCAAATATACAAAAGAATTGTATAGTCTTGCTCTAATCCAAGTCCTCGGAAATAAATATGTAAATATAAATGAGATTTCCTTTCATATTTTAAGGTTGATCTGTAGTAAGAAATACTTCAGCACTAAGGTGTTGTATTGCGGTTATAATTCTATGAGAAGTCAGATTTGTCTATGCCAGCGTCCCTAAGCGATTTGACTGCCATCTATGTGTTAATTCTGTCTCAACGGCATATCAGTTTTGAACTGTTGACAGATTTTAGTTTTGAATGTGATGATTGAAGATCTGAGATTCACAATGGCCTATCAGAGTGAATGATTCTGTCAAGGATCAAGACATCCCATCAACCATAACACTGACATTCAGAGCTGAAGGTGTACATATATAACTATCTCTCTACGATCAATTACACCTAAAATATGCAAGAGAATTGAATACACAATATTTTTAAATGTATAACTACAGATTCAATAACAGGAATACCAAACCACCCTTTAACATGCACACGAATGGGATAATTAACCAATCAATTTGAGGCAATACAGTTATGTGTAATCTGAGCAGTTCCGTTAGCTTAAAAACATATATATTCTAATTTCTTTTTAATTCAAATATCTTTATAATATCATCATATTTTATGTATTTTGTTCCCTGTCAATATTTCCAATCTTGACTAATGTCAATTTATAACTTTCAATAATTTTACAATCCCCATACCAATGTACAAAACAGTTGTTCACCCGTAATGTGAGGTTGACAGAACTTTGGACATGGACTCCTTGACAATACATACAATAGCATTACACCTGACAGTTTCCTAAACATAAATCATTGTTTAAAACGATCGGCTATAGCAGAAACAATGGACAGATACAAACAGAATAGACATTTGATAACAACCCTGAACGACTACAACGTGGATCCATCAAGTATATCTCCCGTACTTGATCTTCCATTTTTCAGGACAATGTTTTGAAATGTAAGTTTTGAAAATCCTTGTTGACCCATGAAATGTTTTAAAAGGCTACATTTGTAGGTTTAGGTAAATGTTAGTATGCATTGTTGACAGCCATTAGTACACGGTAGTTGTCTGTCTGGCGCGGTGTGTTCTCTATAGTAAGGGCTCCTATGTATAAAGTACATGTCTGGACCTCCAGAACTCGATCAGTCACCCACTTCATAATTCCTAATCATTCAGACAACCTCAATAACTTATCAAAATCTGCTCAATTTTGGCAGGTATATTACTTAAACCCTTACTATCTTGCATTACTTCATCACCTTTGGAAACAGATTAGGGATAAC